CCAGTGGTAAGATGAGATGTTTCCTTATGCTGCATTCACCAGTTGGGCCACCCTCTCAATTAATAAAACATGTATACAGCTTTGTATTAAACTCCCACGTGCATTGTTAAGAGTTACAAAGCTAAAACAGTAAATGACAATGTGCTGTCCAGCCAGTGTATGGGAATTGGATAGTTAGTTAGCAATTGTGAGCTGTCCCCTTAAGGGAATGCATCATGGTAAATGTAGTTAAGGTATCCTGGGAAATCTAGTCCATGTCACGTGACCACATCTGTAATCCTGATTGGTCACTAAATTGACCCTCAATTGGTTGGGGGAGGTTTCTTCACTCTTGCCTGAACTCACGGACTCGTGGTAACTACCGCTTTGAGATAGGAGGAAAGGGATAAGGAGATAACCATCTTTTTACCTACAAGACAGATATGCAAAGGATTTGGACATTAAGAAGAACTTTGTCACAATTGTGAGTTATGAGGATATCTGATGAACCAATAATAAAGACTTTGTATGAATGTTTTGTTGAGTTTATCTATCTGCATCTGCACAGAAGACAAAATCTACCACTGTACAGAATACAGAACAGACAAGAAGACCTGCAGCTCTGCGTGACCATGAGACAATCTTGACAACAAAATTACAGAATAATAGAGTTGGAAGGGACCTTGGAGGTCTTCTAGTCCAGGGGTCTCCAACCTTGGCAACTTTAAGACTTGTGGACTTCAATTCCCAGAATTCCTCAGCCAGCAAAGCTGGCTGAGGAGTTCTGGAAGTTGAAGTCCACAAGTCTTAAAGTTGCCAAGGTTGGAGACCCCTGTTCTAGTCCAACCGCTGCTCAGGCAAGAAACCCAATACCCATGATGGTGAACCTATGGCACATGTGCCACAGGTGGCACGCAGAGCCATTTGTGCCAGCACACAGTACCTCACTGCGCATGCACGCGCCTCACGGCTGATTGTTCGGCTGGTTTGAGGCCTTTTTCGCCCTCCCAGAGTCTTGAAAAAAGCCTCTGCAGGTTGAATAATAAGCCCGTTTTGTCACTTCCTGTAATACCGGAAGTGAATAATAGGCCCATTTTGTCACTTCCTGTAGAGATAAAGTGATTAAATGGGCCTATTCGTCCTGCAGGGGCTTTTGTCAAGACTCTGGGAGGCTGAAAAAGGCCTCAAACCAGCCAAAAATCTGCTGTGAGGCACAGTACAGTTAAGGAGGCGGGGGGGCTGCGAATTGCCTTCTGGGTCCTAGCGCGCAAGTGCCAGTGCGCACACAATTTTTGGCACAGGAGCCCAAAAAGGTTAGCCACCACTGCCCCATACTATTTCAGACAAATGGTTGTACTGATATTGGAAATATTAATTTCTAATATTGATCGGAAAAGAACCCCATTTTTCCAATTGCCTCACCTTCCCATGAAAAACTCTTTAGCAGCAATTACTTGAAAAACCTTGCCTGTACTACCTGGAGTAAACAAAATATGTATGAATTGGGCATTGTTATTCTGAAACAAGAGTCATCTGTCGAAACACATTATCGCAAAGCAGCGCTTTCCTATCAGACCCAACCAATGGCAAAAGAAACATTTCCGTCCTTTGGGGTCAGCTTTCTTGTAAAAACAAATTTGTGGAGGATGAAAGGAAATCAATGAATGTAAACCAGATTTAAGTCACATTTAAACCCTATGCCCGCTTTGGCACACCTTGAATTGCTTTTCAGGTGGAATTCTTGACCCAGCTTTGAGAACAAACTGTAATAGGCTCAAAGGAATATATTGAAACAGTAAAGATAAAGTCATAGAATATCTTCTCCTTTTCAACAGAGCAAGACCTCTTTTTTCTGAATTCACAAAATATGAAAATTAGGGTTGATTTTTTAAAAAATGATAATACTAGAAAATGCTACCAGAAGGCAGGACAAGGAGCAACGGATGGGAACTAATCAAGGAGAAACCCAGAACAAAGAAGAAATTTCCTGGTAGTTGGAACAATTGATCAGTGGAATGATTTGTCTCCAGAAGTTGTGCGTGCTCCCACACTGGAAGTTTTTAAGAAGAGATTGGGCAACAGTTTGTCCAAAAAGGTGTTGGGTTTCCTTGAGCAAGGGGTTAGACTAGAAGACCTCCAAGGTCCCTTCCAACTCTGTTATTCTGTTAAACTGATTTTGGCATTGGCGTATTTAACTGTCCCTAAGACTAAAAGCACTACTGGATCTCTCTATTCATTAGAACCATGGGATTCGCCTTCAGTTTGTGAGTAATTGGATAACAATTCACTGTAGTTCTTGTTTTTTAATCAACTTGCCCCATTTCCTAGCAGCTCCTGCTCACTCTCATACTTAAAACAAATACTATTACTCTAATAACCAAATTCATGAGCAATAGGACAATGGAAGGCAATGAAAGTTCAGGATCTCATGGCTAGTATTTGCTCACCAAAGAAGTGAATGGGAGATCTAATTAGCTGGAAATGTAGAAGTCTCTTTCCTACAGCCAAGAAACCAGTGAGTTCAGAGGAATCCAGAATTCTCTGGCATGAATAAAATGCCAAAACTGGGGTGCTTTTCTATCAGAAGAATTCTTTCTTTCTTTCCTTCTTTCTCATTTATTTATGTATTTGTTTATTAAATTTATATGTTGGCCATCTCACAATCAAACGAGTCTGGGCCGTTTTAGATATCAGTTATTTGACAAGATCGACAGGCAGATGGTGAACGAAAGCGAAGGCAGGGTCTCTTTAGGTCAAGCTGGAACTCGTATCCAAGGGAAGTCACCCTTCAGGTCTGCCCTGCAAAGTTAACAAACCGCATCCTGACTTCTGCCATCACGCGAGTTTGCAACGCCTGTTCCAAACTGGATACATTCGTTCCGGGAGTAAGGAACGAGCTCCTCACTCAGTCGGAGGAAGAGGAGAAAGGGAGAAAGGAAGGGAGAGAGAAAGAAAGAGAGGAAGAAAGAAAGAAAGAAAGAAAGAAAGAAAGAAAGAAAGAAA